ACATCGACAGTTTGGACTCAATGGGTGTAGGCATTCTAGTTCCAGTAGATGTTAGTGGTCCGGTCTTTATAGATGTTGGCCAAAGGCAATGATGTCCAAGTTGAGAAGGTAGTGAAGTCAATGAATAAACGTGAAGAAAAAGAGAAGTTTCTATTGAAATTTGAAATAATAAAAGTTTAAAAATAATTTAAAATTATAAAAGGATTAAGGTAGGATTTGAATTTAGATTTGAAACAAATCTAGATTCACACATTTTTAATTATTCAAATCCAAAATCATGCATTTTTAATTACTTAAATAATAGATTTAACTTAAATCCAAATCCACATACATCCAAACATAGCACAAAATCATTTAGTTAGACACATCTCAAGATTTATATATCAATGATCTATCTTTTAATTTTTATGCATGGGAGTTAGACTTCTTTTAGCTCCAATAGATACAAGAAATATACAGATATAATTATATGTTTTGACAAATTAGTACAGGATTAGTGAATAATATAAAGAATTAAGTATATTAAATAAACAAGTATATTAAAGAAGATACAAAAAATCATTAAAGAATAACTAAAAATTTACGTTTTCATTGTGGTCTTGAATCATTTTGGAGCATGAATCTTAGAGTTTTTGCGGCAAGAGAAAAGAATCTTAGATTTTTTTAAAAAAAAAGAGAGAGAGAGAGAAAAGAAAACAAAAGAAGAGAGAAAGAATGTGAAGAATATTTCAAAAAATAACATGTCGTGAATCACATGGGATGGGTTTACAGAGCGCGCCAGCGATTTCCCTCCCTGGCTCCTCACAAAAAATGACTCGTTACAAACCGAACCAGACAATGGATTTGATTTCAATTGTCCTCTCGTTTAATTTGTCCGCCCATCTTCACCATTCCTAAGTTGTAACATTAAAAAGAAGACGACTTTTTTTGCTCTCTCTTTAATTTGGACCCATTATATTCACTTGCTATCCTTTTTGTAGTGCTGGATTTTTCTTTTATAGAGCATCCGATGTTTTGTGCTTGCATACGTTAAATTGAGGAGACCCAAGGAGATCCAGAGACTAATCTGAATTGAGTCGAGACGGGACCCTTTCGTATGGAAACTCTATGCCTATGGTGTTATATTTTTAAGATTTAAACTCGATCGAAAACTCTAGTTAAAAATATACGATTCTCTAACATGCCTCCAGATAACTACTGGCCTGCAGAGTATTGTCCTCCTTTTCTTTTTCCATTATCTTCCTTTTAAATTGTTAGGTCAATATTTAAATGATTTAAATTTATTTTTTTAATAAAAACTAAAACAATATTTTATAAATAGAAATAACTGTTCGAGTGGAGGCTGCTTGTGGTCTTTTTCTGTTGTCTGACCCAGATAGTGGCTTATACATGTTACGGAATTGAACATGATTAGGATCTTTTAAGAATTACTGAGTGCGTGATTGGATATAGATTTTGCATTTCACAATGATGGAATGGTTTTTTTTTAGCTCAGAGGAAAGAAAAAGCAGTAATTCTGGAGTCCATGTGCGCGGAATGGAAATTCACCTAATCTAATAATTAATTCCAAGCTTCACCTAATTAGAGCGTGATGAACTCGTTATTAGTTTTTTTAATAAAGAACTCGTTATTGGCTTTATTTTGCACAAGTGATATGATGATGCTCTCTATTTTGAACATATATATCATTTTCCCTTTTGAAATGAAGATGCCGTGTTCTCCAAATTATTGTCACAAGTTTTTTTCAGGCCAACGAATTATAACACGATGTCTAGTAAATATCACTTCACACCAATTATTATTGTTTTATTTTAATATGTTTATTAGTGCAATTAAATTAGTTGATTATTTCCCTCGACGTTAATTAATTAAATATATGCGGATTTAAAATTAAAATATTATTTGACATTCAAATTTATTTGTTATTTATAACCATAATGCAAAAATTCACGTGCATAATCTGAAAATTTTTCTTATATGCATCTCTTTAATAGTAGTTTTTGATTGCCATGGCTGGTTATATCGTTAACGTTGGACATATTATATTGATGGGGTGATTTTTTTAGTTACAAATTGATTGATTGATTTAAACACAATATTAATCAATGATTAGAACTTTCAAGTTGGATTTAAATTGATGTGAAAAATCTCACATGAAATAAAATTAAGCTTAGCTACATGATTATGAGCGCACCCCCTCCATAAAAATATACTTTCTCCATCTCAAATTATACAATATTTTTAGATAAAATCTCACATATCGATAAATCTTATTAAATATACTTAAAAATCTTATTGTTTTCAAAATGAAAATATAAACTTTTAAAAATATTTCTCATTTAATAACCTTAAATCTATACTTAATTAGTATTAAACAGAGAGATAGAGAGAAGGTAATATTAGAATAAGCTTATTAATTAAACATTAATATTCTCAAAGTGTTTTGCATTTTGAGATGGTAAGTCCCTCATAAAAGTGTCTTATAATTTGAAACAAAAGGTATAAAATATTTTTTAATTAAATCATACCTTTTAATAAGTTAACTAATTTCATGTCTTTAAATTATATAGCTAACACCATATTTTTATCTTTGCCATTATTTAATAAAGTATCACGTATAAAAAATAAAGGGTTCATGATTTGTTTATTTATTAAGGATATTTTTTAAGATAAAAGCTCATCAATTACATATTAAAAAATTAAAAATATATTATATTTTTAAACATTTAAAATCAAAAAAAGCCTTATACTCCCTCCATCCCAAATTATAAAATATTTTGAGACAAAATTTTACATACCAATAAATCTCAATAAATACACCTAATAACTTTATCTTTTCAAAATAAAAATACTTTCCATCATTTAATATATTAAAAAGAAAAGAGATGAAAATTAATTATAGAGAGAGAGAAAGGATAATATTAAAATTAGTACATTAATGAAACCTTAATCTACCCAACATATCTTATATTTTGGGATGAAGAAACTGCTTTAAAAGTATTCTGTAATTTGATATAGATGAATTATTTTTTAATAGAGTATATGAAATAAGATGAGAGAATTCATAACTCTTTTTTTTACCAAAAAAAGAATGCATAAATTCAAATTTTAAGATGTTGAGTGAAAAGATGTCGTGCTCCCAATGCTCTTTACCTAGCTTTTTCCTCTTGTTTTCGGACCTTGATTCCCCTTTCTAACATTAATTAAAACACTATCTATTTATATTTAAAAAATTGCAGTCTATTTTTCTCAAATAATTTTGTTTTTTATTTTTTTATTTCTAGCAACCAAACAGAACCTATATGCTTTTGAAATTCCGTTTGATATAAGCTATTTTTTTCCTTTGAGAATTCAATTTTCAACATTTAAGCATTTTTCATTTTTTCTTTTTTTATAATTGATTCTTAAAAAAATTATCAAATTTATAGCCAGTCCTAGGGTACCACCTCATTCCTAATTTAACTAGTAAACTTGTACAAGCTCTACCCAATTAAATATAATTCTACGCCTCATTATTTTAATTTTAATTTAAATATTGAAAAGCCACCGTGTGCAGATTGATTAGTAGCAGCAGGACAACCAATGTTTGACTTTGACTTAAGCTCTCATTTGCGGGATTAATTAATTCCAAGCTTAAGACTCCATTCTTACATGGTCGGCAACCAAATTCAAGGTGGTAACTCCTACTGTAGAGGAGATTCTGAATCATGCGTGTCTACTCTTATAACATACGAAGTGCACCTTGCAAATTTCATCTTTCTCTCTGATCCTCACCCTCATCTTCCAAAATGCTCTCCACATTCTCTACTTCTAGATATTTTGCCTCCTGCATTGCAGGAAGCCTTTGCATGTAATTAACTCTCAAATTATTTGCATACAACCCTTGACATCCACACCACGATATTCACGCTTGACTGTAGTCTTACATATATCACAACGTACAGGTGGCTCCTGGTGGCTTTCTTTTCCTTTAATTTTGCCCCATCCTAGTACCCGTTTGAATTTTAATTAGATATAACATATTATAAAAATAATTAATTAAGTAGTAGATCTTAATCATAATTAATTATATTATAACGCAATCTGTTTGAATACTGTTTTTTTAAAATTAATTATATAAATTACTATATAATTTAATTCTTAAATAAAAAACATCAATTTTTTAAGGATGCAAAATTTAAACTTTATTTAAAAAAAGTTAACAGAAGAAAGTTTAAATTTATTTTATTTAATGTTGTGTCTTTTTAATATTTTTTTCTTGAGCCTTTATTTATAACTTTTCCCAACATTTTTTATCAACTTTTTGCAGAAACTGATCCAGAGAGCTTACAGAAAAACGCGCATCTTGCCCCATAATTGATTTTTAACTTTTTTTGACTATTTGGGTAAATTGGCTCAAAAAATTAATTTTGGCGTAAAAAACCAATTATTTCTCTTCTCCTAACGCAATCTTATTTTAATTTCTAATGCACGGACTTTTTTGGCGCGCTTATATCACGATTTGCGTACCTGCTTGATTTAACTACTCGTAATCTGAATGGGTTTAGCTTGTGAAATGACAATATGGGGACCAGGCGTTCAGCTTTTAATTTGCTTTAGGACTTTTGCCATGTTGAGCTATGAAAGACGTTATAATTATGCGAAAATTCTAAAAAATGAGCCCTCAGTGGATTGCCCTTTTCGATTATTACTTCCTCGCTATTGTCATGAACGAGCCGACACTCATCGCCACGTGTACGTAATTACGTTGAATGCATTCTAATGTCAGGAAAGAGTTAAATTTGCTCGTGTATGCAGTTTTTAAATTACCTCATTCAATTCTTAAGAATTGAGCTCAAATAACCTGTTCATCAAAACTCTCGGATCGTTTAGGCTCAACTAAACTACAGATGGAAGGATTTGTAGTGGGTCGAGTGCAAATTAAATTACCACTTCAACTCCACCAACTGAATCATTTTATTGTTTTACCAAACCAGTACGCATCTATAATTGCCTCTCACTTTCGTAATGCTTCGTCATTTATACTAAATGGTCCGTTAGAGGCTGCGCAGACGTGGAAACAAAAGTAGTTATAAGAAGAATGGGATGAGAATGAAGAAGCTATCCAAATTTATGCAGTTGCAAATGGATTCAGGGCCAATCCCCAGAGTCGAGCTGGAGGGCCAGTGATTCCAAATCCATTGCGCCATTATTCTCGTGGACGTCGAAGCCACTCGTTGTCGTGGCCCAGCCGTTGATAATAAGTTCCTCGATGAGCAGGGGCTGGTCAACGTTAAAGTTAAAGATCCCGGCATCTCCGTACAAATTTTCTGCAGTCAGGGCAAAGTGATCATCGCTTCCAGAACTCCACATATTTACATCGGAATTATGATTTTCAGCTGGAACCCCATCTTCGTCTGCATTAATAACTTGAGGTTTTGGAGATCGAGAACCCTCCTCGTCAGATTGATTTACGGCTTTGGGAGCTTCATCCTCAACCTCTTTCTGGTTTGTAGCCGAAGAGTTGATGTTGGAGTTTTTGTTTGGATGTTGCGGCACTGGGATAACTACGTTGTTACATCGACTGGGCTTGGTTTGAATTAACTGTGGCCGAGGATCAACTGGAGAGGCCTGGTCATGAACTACTTCCTTGCCTGCTCTTGATCTGCGGGGAGGACTTGGTTCCGAGGGTCTGAGCTTCTTTGCCAGAGTAGTGTTCCAGTAGTTCTTGATTTCATTGTCTGTTCTCCCTGGAAGTCTTCCGGCTATGAGAGACCACCTGGGTAACACGTGAAATAGGAAAGTACATATCCAGGAACTAAAGAGGAGAAGAAGAAGAAGCTGGGAGGGAGAAAAAAACAGAACGAACCTGTTACCAAGAAGTTTATGGAGCCTGACGATGAGATCTTCTTCGTCGCGAGTGATGTTGCCTCGCTTAATGTTAGGCCTGAGATAGTTTAACCAGCGAAGCCTGCAGCTTTTGCCACATCTTCTCAAGCCTACATTTGGAAGTGGGATATGCGTCAGAGTGAGTGAAGATAGAAAGCGAAGAAAGAGGAAAAGAGAGGAGGAGTGAGGATACCGGCTCGGAGGGGGAGGTTTCGCCATTTGCCTTCGCCATGGGCCTGGACGTACGAGATCAGTAGCTTGTCCTCAAGGGCAGTCCAGGCTCCTCTGTTCAGTCCTTCCTTGGAGCAACAAGGACTCCTCCCCATCTCTCTCTCTCTCTCTATCTATCTCTCTCTCATTAGAGCAGCGCCCTTTGGTCTTATATAAACCCCACGACTTATGCATTCAAGTGTGAATCAAGTTTGTCTTTTGGCTTAGCTCCTTGGGGGTGTCTTGGTACTCTCGTTAATCATATATGCGGGTGTTGGTTAATTGGTTTCCCTGCAACTTGAACGTACAGCAGCACCTTTTTACGATCCTAGTGATTGATTGAGGGACTGCTATAATGTAATCAGATGTGTATCTCCTGCCTTCTTCTTTCTGGTTGTATAACAACAAAGGCGATTGATAAGCCACGGGGCCGCAAGGCTCTGGCTGGTAATTGAAACCCTGTTTAGTCATAATACTAGTTTCAATACCCATCATGCTAATAAATATTAATAACTCATCACTTTTGAATTATTTAAATTTAATTTGAATGGTTTAAATTTATAATTTGTCAACAAGTATTTTTTAAATAAAAAATTATTTTTTGAAAAATTAACAGTTAAGATTTTTTCTTTATTTTAGATTCTGTATCCATTAAAATAATTTTTTTAATAAATAAAAAAATTATTAATCTGAATTATTTAAATTAGATTTAAATAATTTAAAAGTGATGAACTCTCAATACGTATTTGTATGATAAGTATTGACATTGGTTCCTTTGATCCCCTGGCCGTTTCAATTTTTATGACGCCGGAGAAAAGCTGAAACATTCTTAATTGTACAAAAGTAGTTACTAGTTACTCCCTTTGATCCAAAATAAAAGAATTTTTTCTTAATTAATGTTAGTTTAAAATATAAATAACCTAATATATATAAAGTTTTTTTTTTCTGTTTCATCCATTGAGTTTATTAACTTAAATATTTTTGTAAGTGTATCTCTCACTTATTACGGAGTGTTTTGGTAACTGAGATTAGGAATAAAAAAGAAAATTTTTATAAAAATAAAAATTTTATTGATATGCCAATTTTTTTTTTAAACCACTATTTTGGACTGGAGGGAGGAGTAATTATCTAGCAGTAGTAGGTTAGTAGTCATTGAACATGTGGACGAAAGACCAAGACATGAGATGTAGAAAAACACGGACATTATTTCTCGTTTGAATTATTATACCACATCTCAGCACATCATTTTGTTATATATAAACACCCTGATCGTGTGGTAATTATAAGCCTCCTTTTCAATTCTTTTAATAATGAAAAAATTTAAATGGCTTGAATTTCAAAAGCTCATCAAGATAATATCCTTCCAAATTTAAAGACAACACTGAAAAATTGTGTGAATAAGATTTTTACATTGATAATGAAATTTGATCTTATAATTTTATATATTACAAGCAAATCTTTATCAACTGGACTAACCTTTATTGGTTAGCCTCCTTTGCAATTTTACATTCAATAATTTTAATTTTAATATCTATATAGACACGAACACATTATATGGCAACTAATTTTATATGAGAGTGTTAAGAAATGGTGCGATACGATTTCTGAATGGAATTAGTCTCTCGCCCTTGTCCGTGTCATAAAAAGCTCGGTTATTCTCGATTACAAAATCTAAATAATAAAAGCAACTAGTTACTTATAATTTGCTAAAATCTGAACGTGGTATAGCATGAGAAATCATATACCCTGTCACGTAAATTTTAAGTAAATTATTTCAAATTTAGTACATGATATTAGTTTATCTTAGGGAAAATGATATTGAAAGTCCTAAAAATAAAAATTATTACAATAAGAACTATCAATTTTGCATCAAATATTATACTGCGAAAACACTGACTTCTAGTTGTGATAAGGTGAACCTTAACTTATATTTTTTGTTAGGATTTTTTCATAAATTTAACAAGTTAAGCTTCACTTTTTTCACAACAAGAAGTCAATGTTTTCACAATACAATATTCAATACAAAATTAATATGCTTTTATTATAATAATTTTTTTTAGGGCCTTCAATGTCACTCTCCCTTTACCTTAGCCCAGCAATATTCAATTGGTAAAACCGTAAAAATATACTGTTCTATTTTTATTTGTAAAAAAAATATCATTTTTTACTTATTTTTTATATAAATAAAATTACATATTTCAATAAATATTTATTATATATTTCTTAAATCACCCCTTATAATTTATATTAATAAAAAATAATTAATACATACTTATATTGATGAACATATGGCATTTTAGTCTAATTTTGTTATTTTTAAACATAATTATTATAATTAATTATTTTTTTTAAACTGTATAATATGATTTTGTTCTTTTTATATATAAAAACAAAGTGAGTAATTCATATCCTATAATGTTATTTAATTGAGTCTGATTTATACTTTTCATTTGAGTAACTCATCAGTGGGGTGCTTTACAAGTGCTTTTTAAGTGATGACTGTTGCTCTAACCATAGAAAACCTTCGATAAGAAGAGAAGGCAAATTAATAATAGTCATGAATAATAATGTGGTCATCTCAAACTACATATATAACTTATTTTAGTTATTTTTATTTTTATTAATAACAATAACAATAGCAAGGGAGTCTCACGTGTCATGGCTCGTTAAAGTTGCGATTGGACAGACAGTGATGGGATTAATTACTAGTTCAAGGCTCTAATTCTTTAAGAGTTCAATAAGTAAAAAAATAAAAAAGACGAGGGACCCCAGCACTCCAACCGGTCACGGAATTTATTACGTCGCTTACTTGTACCCTGATAACCAAACAAGCTGGTCCATTTTAACTCAAGTTGCACTCTTACAACTAGGGCTATAGGCGGCCAGGTTGGCCGGTCAATCCGATACTGTTCAAGCCAGTCGGATATTTTTTGTTGTGTAATTTTATTTAATATTTTTGTGTATTGTATTGTTTTTAGGTTTATTATTATTTGAACTAAAATATAAGACGTTGCTAAAATAAATTACAAAATTAATTGAGCTGAGTAACTGAAGAGTCAGGCCTAATATAAATAAAAGGGTTAGCCTCTAATTTCAATAAAGGCCACGATAAAATAAATATGTCGAAATCCTGCCAATTATAAATATTAGACCGTTGGCACAAGAAGACATGATTTTGAGTAATTCCTGAATCTGCAAATATCGTGCCCAATTATCTCAATGAGACAGATTAATCACCAAAAATGAGAAACTTGAAATAAAGATCGTGCCATGAGTTTTGTGAAATCCTTAATTCCTCGACAAAACATGCTAAATATTAAGGGAGAGGCTACCACTACTCTGACATTATAAATGGAAGATGAAAACATAGAAGAAAACAGTCAATACTCAATCAAAGACTCACATTTTTACACTTTTTAGCTTGTAGTTTATCAATTAATTTTTCAATTTAGAATTGTAACTTCTCGCATTTCAATAAAATCAAACCCTTATTCTGTCAAAACTTTATATCTTTTTATATCCGAATGAAATGTAGTAAAAGAGCTCATGATTCTTTTATTATCAGTTGAGACTTAGCATATCTAGCACGCTTGATATTTATTCTTCACCAACGAACAATTATGAATTTTTTTTGTGATTTCAATTTTTTAATCTTTTTAAATACTTAAAATTAATTTTTTTACTTTATATCATCTAAAAATGATGAATAATTGTTAATTATATACAATTTAAAAATCATTACTTTAAATTCTAACATTAGTTAAAAAAATCCATTTTTGTTGGCTAATAAGATTATTTTTAAAAATAATTTTTGGGCATCAAGTCAAATCCAACCCTAACCTTCGATCAGCTTGGTGCTTGAATTTGTACATAGAGCTAGGCATTTGGCTAGGGTAGAGCTCAGCTTGACTTGATCCATATTCACTCTCACTAACAACTGAAAAGTTTTAAATTATTTTAGAGAGTGCAATTTTATTTTGTTGTATATAGGCTTTGAGGTGGATAACAATTAAATACTTAATCTTATATATTTAATATATTTTTTTCTAACTAAATTAAAACAAGTAAATTTTAGTATGTTAATAATATTAATAAAAGTAAGTTATTATAGAATAAATAATCTAACAAAATTTCACACGGCATAATTTAATTAAAAATAAGCACATTATATATATCAGACTTATAATATAAGTTTTCCCTTACTCGGTTCCTCTATGCAAGAAATCATTAATTATAGCCCAATAAAGAGACAGATATTCCATATGACATACTTTAAATGTTTCTACTGTTACTATACTACCTTCATACCAAATTATAAAATACCTTTAGAAAAAATTTGGCAGCTTAGAAAATAAGATATTTTAAAAATATTATACTTTTATTAAACATATTTATTCTAATATTATCTTTTATCTCTCTCTATTTAACATTAACTAAGTGTAAATTTAAATCTATTAAATAAAAAATATTTTTAAAAGTTTATATTTTGTTTAAAAATAAGTTTGATAAATATATTTAATGATATTGATTGATTCGTAAGATTTTATATAGCATCTTATATTTTTTTCAACAAACATTGTTGTTGCATAAAATAAATCAGCTAACAATGATGATCTCTTTCCATATCACACATGGTAGTTATTTCATGTCTCAAATAATCGGGTAAACCTCGAACATGAACGATTCAAAAAAAAGAAAGAAAGAAAGAATCAATTAACGGGCTTCATGCTCTGTCATAACACCAGCATAGTACTCCATGTTTTTGCAACAACGTAGTAAAGAAAAAGGCCCACTACATAGACCAAAATGAAAGAATTAATGTGCACTGCTCTGAGAACGAACTGGCATGTGGCATTCATTAGATGCTTCACTCTGCAGCTATGTTCATCTGACTTTGTCAACATGTTGTTTGTGTCCAGGATTTGTTTCGTTGCTCATTGAAAAAAAAAAATAATAAAAGGGGGAAGAGAAGTAAGGTTTTTGAAGATTTTTTATCATCAAATTTCGACATGATTTGAATCAAAGCTCAAATATGTATTAAATTAATAAGAGAATGAAAAAGGAAAGGGAACAATCATAGGAACCATTTGTAACTACTTTTGTAGGTGGGCGCGTCATTTTCAGAACGTGAAAGCCCCCAGGAAGTCACAGGAGAGCAACAAACTTTCAATTTAAGTCCGAATGTTAGTTTGGGGTGTAAGGGGCAGAGGGCCACACCCCACAACCACAACATGGCTTTGAAAGAATGGAATGGTAGATGAATCGTCCTATAGCTTCAATCTCATTCACTCCTACTATAAAAGCTTTATCCTTGAGCACAATCCCCAAACTTCAGGGACACTGTCATTTAGTACTTTGTGTTTGAAACTTCCTTGTAATTTTGCGAGATTTCAACAAGGGTACGAAATTAATTACGTTCAAGTGAGGCTGCACCCACTTATTATTCTGCTGTCATGCATCGACCCATGCACATAGATAAGCAAACAGGTAGTGTGTAGGGTACAGCCTCGTATGAATTGAACTGATCGCAGGATACGAAGGCTCAGCGATTCAGATAGATAGAGAGGCAGGTGGATATTATAGAGTAAGAATGGGGAGGACTCCTTCGCGCAGTAGTGAAGGGCAGAAAAGGGAGGCTTGGACTGCTCAAGAAGACAAGATTCTGGCATCTTATATCAGGGCACATGGCCAGGGCAAATGGGAAAACATCCCCAAACAAACAGGTCGTGACATGAAGATGGTCTTAACTGATGATACAGTTAATTAATTAAGGTCTCTCTCTCTCTCCCTAATCTTTATATTATCATTCACAAGCAGGTCTCAGGAGATGCGGAAAGTCGTGCAGGCTTCGATGGATGAATTACTTGAGGCCAGATATCAAAAGAGGCAACATTACACCAGACGAAGAAGACCTCATCCTCAGGCTCCACAAGCTCTTGGGCAACAGGTTCGTACCTACCCTTCACAGTCACACACACACACACACACAAGAAAATAATTAAGAAAGGATAATTTGTTGTTCAGATGGTCGCTGATAGCGGGAAGACTTCCAGGGCGAACAGACAATGAAATCAAAAACTACTGGAACACCAACTTAGCCAAGAAGGAGCAAGAGAAGCGATCAGCCGATAAACGTCAAAACGGGGAAAGGGAAATTGCAGAATCAAGAGCGTGCCAGGAGGCTCCGGAGAGGGTTACTTTAGAGCCTACGGAGCCGCCAAACACACACATGGTCGTAGACACGTTAACTCCGATGGAACTCGAGACTGAGTACTGTGCCGAATCTGATGTTGCAGCAGTGGAATCCGTTGCTATTGATGAAGGAAACTTGGACGGGGATTTGATGAATTTTGATTTCAAGGACGTGGAATTTTTGGAGTTTCTGGACTTGGATTTTACTGGACTTGCAGATTTTGACATGTTAATGAACACGGGCGATTCGGAACAAGAAGGCAACCTGGTTGATTCTAAGCCGTTTTCATTTTCTACGGAAACAAATGCTGCGCGGGGGAGTCAGAATGTCACCGATGAGTGAGACTGGTAAAACGATTCGGTGTCTTGGAGTGCTTCCCTGTGCTGTGCTCAGAGGAAGAATGCAGCAGTTCAGTTCTGTTCCGTTCGGATCTGATAATAAATAAGGGAAAGGTGGGACGTACGTGTAAATGAATTCTCAAAAATCAGTGATAATTTGATTATATAATGAAGATAATATATAAAGTAACTTGTCGGTCCATGATTCATCCCTGTTTCTCCAAAATTGGTTTCCCCACTCATCCTCATATTTAGAATGAGATCTAACTATCCAATTTAAAATATTATTACTATATTATTATACATTATATTTATTAAGAGAAAAATTTATAAAAATTGTCAAATAATTTTAATAAATTTTTTATTTTTAATCTACTATAAATTTAATTTAGAAGGTCCAATTTATTATTAAAATTTTTATAATTAATGTATATTGATTATCCATATTTATTCTGCACAATTTAGGACTATGCAGGGTACATTTGAATAATCAATATACATCAATTATATTTCCTTCATTTAAAAATGTAAGGTATTTTTTGAGGAGTTGGATGTTCAAAAATGTGAGGTATTTTTAATTTTTTGAGATATAATCATTACCTTTTTTTAAAAAGTGTCCCTATTAATAGTAACTTTATATTTATTATAGGTGTTTAATAGGGGTAAATATAGAAAGATAATATTAATTTGAAAGTAGATAATCACTTTATTGGAGGTGAAATTCAGTTAAAAATATTTTATATTTTTTAATTTTAAGTCAAGAGAGAGTGAGAGAGTAGAAAAGGCCAGAAGGGGGAGAGAGAGCAAGAGAGAACAGAGAGGGAGAGAGACGGTGATGACGGGCCTCACTATTCACAAAGCAACAGTCATTTATCTCATATTAGTGATAAGGGGAAATTTTTTTGAGTTTAATCATCCATGATTCAAAATATATTAAATACAAGTTGTGAATTTAAATCAACTCTATGCCTATAGTTTAGAGTCCAAATTATCAGTTAACCCTGGAAAGTATAATGCTACAAAACTATATAGGTTCAGCAATTAAAAAAAATAAAAAAGAAAATTATTGATTCTTATAATTTTATCAAATTTTGCTTTCAATCCTTATATATTTTTTTTTTGTAGTGTTTTCAATCCTGTAGGAATTGAAAACATTGTAATTACAAGAACATGAGTAACAAACATCACCCATTCTTATTAAAACTATATGGATTGAAAATACTAAAAAATCTGTAGAAAGTAAGTAAAAGCAAAATCTGATAAAGTTATAAGGATTGATAATTGTGTTTTTTTCTAAAAGAAATTATAGAGGTTCATATTAAAATAGCTAGAAAGTTATTTTGATCATAGTTATATATACATTCTTGAAGTACAGGATAAGAGAATTATACACACACAGACGTGGACACCGTGTGTTCTAATCAATGAACTCTCATCAGAAGATCAACCACTTCATGTTTTTCCTTTCTAATTGACAAACGAAAATCAAAGAATCGCATATTTATGTTATGGATGCTCTCTAGATATTTCAAAACAATTGATACTTTTGAAACAATGTCGGCCCAATAGTAGCCTGGAAAATGATTTGGGCCCCACTGTGATTTACTTCAGCCTACCTTCAGGGGGAAAACATTCGAAGCCCTACATTAATTAAAAGGCCATTAGGCCTGACCCGGGTTGATTCTTCTTTTGTTTTTTAATATTGCCTGGCACAATAAGAGCTGAGAAGTTTTTACAAATTCATTTATATATATATATATATATATATATTTACAAGAAAGAAACGTTCGGACGATTCCTGAGTCGAGGAATTGTTATGAGGACAGTTTCAACGTCTAGAAAGGCTCTGACAAAAAAAAAAAAAAAACGTCTAGAAAGGCTTATTACATCGGCAAATGTATTATTCCACACATAATATCTACTTTGTTGGCCAAAACACATAATATCTACTTAATATTTCCTTTTTATCAGCTTTAATTTGAAGATACAATGATATTTTAAATTACAAATATTTTTATTATTTTTTATCTAGTGCATAAAAAATCAATAAACACATATAATGGGTGAAAGTGATTTGATAACCAATTCTTATTTTATCTAATATTTCCTTTCTTATTTTTTAGTTATAAATATTTTTATTATTTGTTATCTAATATTTCTTTTCTTATTTTTAAGTTATAAGAAAGATAACCAATTCTTTTTTTTTTTCACTGAAAAGACAACCAATTCGTATAATGGGTGAAAGTGATTTGATGAAACGTCTTTATCCATTCCTCGATCGAAAGGCAGTGTACGTACTAATGGCTATTTTTTGTTTATTATAAAAATATAAATGTCAATAATGACAAGTGGTGGATATCACTATATCATAAGGCAATTGGAAACATAAATTTCCCTATAATTAGTGGCGGACCGCATGACTTATTTGGTGGTCCAAAAATAGAATTTTTTAATCTTTTTTATAAATCTTCACTCTGCAAGCCCAAAAAAAAAATCTTTTAATTAGTCCAACTGACATCAACTTTTGAATTGGTTTCTGTTTTTATTTTTCCTTTTGTTGTTACATCACAGAATAAAAAAAGAAAAGAAAAGAAAAGAGCGTCAATTAGCATTCGAGAACATATATGGTCAGGATAAAATACAAAGTTGCCCCCACCTACAGTTTAAAAATATTTTAGAAGGACAATAACATAAAGGATAAGCCTTATTATACACACACACGCCTGATGGTAATATAAACATTAAAAATAATAGTGCAGCAAAGAAAAATATTACAATAATATGATGTGAAGATTTGTATCTGGTTTTGATGGTACCCGCTGCTCTAATTAAATCCTACCTTCTCTTAATTAATTTAAGAAACAGATAGTAAGAAGTCTATTGCATCAATTCAACCACCGCTGAATGACGTGTCTCTTTTAAGGTAACGTATTAAATGTTGGTGTGTGTGTGTGTGTGTGTGTGTGATATTTTAGAAATCTATTCATTATTGATGCATGCTGCCACGCTGACAAAGATGTTTAGTTTGTCTCTGGATTGTACCAAGTTGAAGGAAAAAAGTATACGTTTTAGACATGTATGTACATGTCATAAAAATCACAGTACAGTTATATAGTAGTGGAAGTAGTTGAAACGAAAGACTAATTCAGCCTACTTATAGCCACGATCAGGCTACATTTCTCATTCCCCCTCCACCTGTGCCAATGGAGGATCACATCTTGAAAGCCATGGCAACCTCTGTTGCCTTTCTAGCTGTCCTTGGTTTGATGATGATGGTCCATATTTTCTGGTGGAGGCCCAAAAGTGTTGAGAGGACATTAAGGAAGCAAGGAATCAGGGGCACTTCGTACCGGGTCTTCACAGGAGACGAACCAGAAATGAAGAAGTCCGCCAAAGACTCATCCGCTAAACCTATCGCCCTCAACGCCGAAATCATCCCTCGAGCCATTCCTTTCTATAACAACATGGTCAAGCGATATGGTAAGCAAATTGAACCCAACTTTCAAACAGTATTCATAAAATAAGTAATATATAGTCTAATACAAGGGAGCAAAGAACTGATGATATTTTTGTTTGTACAGGAAAAGTTTCGTTATGTTGGTTTGGAAGCATTCCGAGGCTGATAATAGGGGATGCAGAACTGATAAGGTTGATATTAGAGGATAAAAAAGGTGATTTTGTGCATCAACGTCTTAACCCACTGGTGAATCTCCAACACAAGGGTGTGGCGACCTTGGAAGGTGAAGAAGGGAGTAAACGCAGGAGGCTAATAACTCCTGCTTTCCACTTTGAAAAGTTGAAGGTGAGTGTACACACACACACACACACCCCACACCGAACCTGTAATTAATTAATTTCTCATCAGCCAACTGACAACTGTGTTATATGTTATCATTGCCAACAAGTATATATACATGTGACAAGACTAGAGCGTAAAAAATGCAGGGAATGGTTCCTGCATTTTCAAGTTGTTGCTGGAACCTGATCGAGCGGTGGCAAAAGCTAGTGGAACCACAAGGGTGGTGTGAAATTGATGTTGCTCCGGAACTGGTAGCTCTGGCCTGTGATGCCATAGCTCGAACAGCCTTCGGAAGTAACTACCAAGAGGGAAAGGAGTTATTTGAACTCCAGAAAATGCAACTGCCATTGCTGATTGAAGCCTATAACTCCATCTATGTCCCAGGCTTCAGGTGACCAACTTCACAAGTTAATATCGCATATAAAACTACAGAATTAATGTTGCTTTTTTTTATTATGAATTATATATATCTCAGACTTTGTAACAAAGAAGATGAAGTCCGTCACTAATTATAGCAGCTAACACACCTTAATCCTATCTCAAGATTCGTACCGACAAGGAAGAACAGGCGGAGGTACCAATTATACAACAAAATCATAGCATTGTTGAAGAATATGATACAGCAAAGAGAAGAAGCAATGAAAAGAGGAGAATTGAGAGCAGGGCTTGATTTAATGGACCTACTATTGCAGTGCAAAGAAGAGAGCAACAACGACCTGACAATTGAGGATGTGATAGAAGAATGCAAATTGTTCTACTTCGCTGGTCAAGAGACCACCGCCACCCTCCTCACGTGGACCATGATCTGCTTGTCCATACACCAGAATTGGCAAGAGAAGGCAAGACAAGAAGTTTTAGAGATTTGTGGCAAAAGAAAGCCTGATTCAGGAACCATTAATCGCCTCAAGATCGTAAGTGGAAATGACAATAATAATGTGTTCAAATGTTTCAACACTTAGTAATTTGACTCTTGCATGCAGGTATCAATGATACTTCATGAAGTGCTGAGACTGTTTCCCCCTCTGCCCGATGTCTTCAGATACACAGTGCGTGAAACCAAGATGGGAAGCTTGTTGATACCTGCAGGGGTTGAGCTGTGTTTATCGGTGATGCATGTTCATTATGATACCACTTATTGGGGGGATGATGCTCCGGAGTTCAAGCCGGAGAGATTCAGTGAAGGAGTTTCAAATGCTTATTCAGAGGATCAAATGGCTTTCTTTCCATTTGGCTGGGGTCCAAGAATATGCATAGGCCAAGCCTTTTCCCTGGTCGAAGCAAAGACGGTTATGGCCATGATCCTTCAACATTTCTCATTTCAACTCTCCCCTTCTTACACTCATGCGCCTTACCTTAACTGTAACATCAAGCCACAGCATGGTGCTCCTATTATTCTACGCCATGTTTAGCCAAGTTATACTTGGCTTTGTGTTGTATTACTTGTACCGTGTTGTGGCTGACTGGTTGGTTTTGAAACCCCTCTAGTTACCTGTAAGATGTTGGTGATTGAATAATGTAATATGGCTGTGTAAAATATAATAATCTTTTGTCTAATTTGAGATGTATAGAGAATTACAAAATATTTTAAAATCGAAAATTGATTAGCATATAAGAATACAATTAATTAAATATGTTAGCATATAAGCGGGCCCCCATTGCTTAACATGCCCCGAGTCATGTTTTGATTTTGCCCATGCTGACTATAATTGAGAAAGCAGAGACAGAAACAAGACAGAAAATAAAAAATGTAACGACCAAAACAGAGCAGAACAGAGCGGTAGATGCGAAAACCTCTACACTACCCCTGCTGGTTGGGAGGGTTTTTTTATTTTTCAATAATTTTTCAGCAAGGTGGAAACATCCTTTTAATTAATTTTAAAATTCTAGCTGTTTTATCGTGTTATTTATACGAGCGCCCGTAGCACACAAGCCCCATATCTATATCAGGCTTTTATTCTTGATAAATTAACAGGAATAAAATTTTAATATTTTCCTGATGTTGCATTTATTTAATGTGTAACTGTTAGTTTATAACAGTAATTTTTATTTAGAGTTAATTGATTTAATTTCTAAAAACAAGGTAAAATAAAATATAAAAAATATCTATTTACAAAAGATACTAGGGATGGCAAATTTTTTTTAAATAAATAAATACGATACTTTTTAAAAGATCATATTATAATAGCTATTGTAAAAATATAATAAATTAAAATTTTATTTTTTCAAATTTTATCTAATTACTTTTAAAAAGAAGCGTGTAATTGGTTAATTGTGAAAGGGGAAACTCTACCTCTCATTGGCATTTTTTCTGAGACGAAGCTTACTTTCTTAAACATTTTTTTACAATTTGTGATTTCAATAATCAATTTTTTTTTTTTTTAAAAAGATGCCCAATTAGCTTATCAAGCCCACGCGACCGCGCCCCTCTTGTCAAAATCTAAACCCTAACCCCAACGGTCATTTCCAAGCGCCGACCTTCGCAGGCGTGGGTAAAATCGGGTAGCGAAAGGAGCCTAGTCGTGCGCGATCTCTCCACCCCACTCCTGTCTTCAGTTCTTCCTTCGCTCCGAATTCTTCTTCACCGTCAAATATTCTTCCTCCACTGGGCTGTCTCTGTCTCTCAAGTCTCAAGGTTCGTCTTCGTCCCGCAGACTCTCACCCTTCGTCTCTGTCCTTGCTCCATGTCTCTGCTCTTGGGGATTGCGAATGGAGGGAATGATTTTGGGTTGTTCTTAGATTCGAGAGCTATTTCCTCTGTTGTATTTGTTCTCTCTCTCCTTTTGTGTTAAGAGACTTAGAATTGATGATATATCTCATATTTCACTTGTGTCCTTCGTCCTTCTCAGTAAATGTTGGTGTTTCGATTGGCTGTTAATTTTTGTTTCTCTCCTTCACGTTTCCTCCTTGAGGACAAGTTTTTTCGGGTTTGATCTGTTCAATCTTTTAGTGGTTCCATATATTTTTCGAGTTGTATTGTAATAAATTATAAAAATCATAGCTTTAGATGCTGAAATAATACTACTGTACTGGATCAGTACTGCAGGCCCTGTGCGTCATAGGATTTATATTGTTTGTGGACTTTCGTTTATTTACTAGTCTCTATGGTTTGTGATTTGTGTTTACCTTGATTTTTCTGCCGAGATTATATCTTTTGTGGCTTTTCTACCGTCCTACAATTACGCAAGGGTATTGTTCGATTTATTGAGTAAATACTAAGTAGTCTCTGTTGGCTTTTCTGATCGAATTTTTGTGCCAATTTGTTCGTTTACTTTGCAATTTTCATACTTATCTTCAATTTAAATTTAAATTTAAGATGATGAATGCTGGCTCTGGAAATGACACCCCCACACCTACTCCCACACCCGTTTCAAATACCCCTCCTACTCGCAATGCTTCTGGAGGGATTGGATTAAAATTATGTGTATGGATATTGAATGACTTGGCCTCCTATACAAATGTTGTATTTTGATTTCAAATTGATTTCCTTACTCTATATGTGACCAAGGACAATTAATGCACTGCTATGAGGCTCAATGACAATTATATGATTTGATGCCTCATCTAAATGTGCATAAATATGTTTAATGAGGTTCTACCTTTTCATTTCAGCTTAGACTCTTCCTGTCTTTGTTGCAATGTAGTCCCCTCAAATATTTGCTAAACATATATTTGTTTGACAAATTTCTCTTGGAAGCACACTTGCAAAGATTGACCATCGTTACATCCTTTGATACTTGATTTGGTTGCCCTTGTCTATTGTGGGAAAAGTGAGGTTAATTAAGAGGCTTGAATATGACAAGCAAAGGTATCCAAGTTTTGCTTACATGCATGTTTTCGAAATATCATATGTGGCTTATCCATAAAATGGTAAAACATTTTTCGTTCTGGAATATCATATGTGGCTTGAATATGACAAGCAAAGGTATCCAAGTTTTGCTTACCAGTTTTGGTGGCTGCCTTACATGTATGCTATATATTTTTCCTTATGCTGGCAAATTTCTTCAATACAGACCATTGAAAAGATTGATGACTAGTGTATCATTTGATATCTTTCATGAAAGCTCTCGTCTAAATGTGGGATAATTAAGTGTGGTTTGGAGCCATGAGCATGGAATACAAAGCTGCTTTGCTTTTCGTGGCATTAGTATATTTGCCGGCTAGACAAGTGGTAGCATTTTGATTTAAAATGGATTTCCTTACTTCTACATTTGACCACGGACCATTCATGCACTATTATGAGGCTCAATGACAATTATATGATTTGATGCCTTGTTTAAATGTGCATGAATATATTCAAAGGGGTTCTGCATTTGCTTTGCAGCTTAGACTCTTCATGTTTTTGCTGCTTTGTAGCCCTCTCACATATTTCATGGACATATTTTTATATCACAAATTCTCTTGTAAGCACAGTTGCAAAGATTGATTATCGTTGCTTCACTTGATGCTTGATTTGGTTGCCTTTGTTCGATTGTGGGAAAAGTGAGATTGATTAAGAGGCTTGAATATGACAAGTTTCTATTGTAAGCACAATTGCAAAGATTGATGGCTGTTGCATCCTTTGATGCTTGATTCGGTTGCCCTTGTCCATTGTGGGAATAGTTGGATTGATTGAGAGGCTTGAACATGACATGTGAAGGTGTCCTAGTTTGGCTTGCATGCAGGCCTTTGGACCTTTCAGAATATCATATGTTGCTTATCTAAGAGATGGTAATTTTGATTGAAAATTGATGCCCCTCCTTTGGCATTCGAATTTATATATTTATATATGCAATGCACTCCTACGAGGCTCAGTGACGTATGTATCATTTGATGCCTAATCTAAATGTGCATAAAGGGAAACATAGGGGGCTATTTTTCCTATTTAGCCTAGACTCTCAGTGTCTTTGCTGCTTGTAGCCCCCCCTTTACATGTGTGCTATATATTTTTCCTTATGCTGGCAAATTTCTTCAATACAGACCATTGAAAAGATTGATGACTTGTGTATCATTTGATATCTTTCATGAAAGCTCTCGTCTAAATGTGGGATAATTAAGTGTGGTTTGGAGCCGTGAGCATGGAATACAAAGCTGCTTTGCTTTTCGTGGCATTAGTATATTTGCCGGCTAGACAAGTGGTAGCGTTTTGATTTAAAATGGATTTCCTTCCTTCTACATTTGGCCACGGACCATTCATGCACTATTATGAGGCTCAATGACACTTATATGATTTGATGCCTCATTTAAATGTGCATGAATATATTCAAAGGGGGTCTACATTTGCTTTGCAGCTTAGACTCTTCATGTTTTTGCTGCTTTGTAGCCCTCTCACATATTTCATGGACATATTTTTATTTCACAAATTCTCTTGTAAGCACAGTTGCAAAGATTGATTATCGTTGCTTCACTTGATGCTTGATTTGGTTGCCTTTGTTCGATTGTGGGAAAAGTGAGATTGATTAAGAGGCTTGAATATGACAAGTTTCTATTGTAAGCACACTTGCAAAGATTGATGGCTGTTGCCTCCTTTGATGCTTGATTCGGTTGCCCTTGTCCATTGTGGGAATAGTTGGATTGATTGTGAGGCTTGAACATGACATGTGAAGGTGTCCTAGTTTGGCTTGCATGCAGGCCTTTGGACCCTTCAAATATCATATGTTGCTTATCTAAGAGATGGTAATTTTGATTGAAAATTGATGTCCCTCCTTTGGCATTCGAATTTATATATTTATATATGCAATGCACTCCTACGAGGCTCAGTGACGTATGTATCATTTGATGCCTAATCTAAATGTGCATAAAGGGAAACATAGGGGGCCTATTTTTCCTGTTTGGCCTAGACTCTCAGTGTCTTTGCTGCTTGTAGCCCCCCCTTTACATGTGCGCTATATATTTTTCCTTTGCTGGCAAATTTCTTCAATACAGACCATTGAAAAGATTGATGACTAGTGTATCATTTGATATCTTTCATGAAAGCTCTCGTCTAAATGTGGGATAATTAAGTGTGGTTTGGAGCCGTGAGCATGGAATACAAAGCTGCTTTGCTTTTCGTGGCATTAGTATATTTGCCGGCTAGACAAGTGGTAGCATTTTGATTTAAAATGGATTTCCTTCCTTCTACATTTGACCACAGACCATCCATGCACTATTATGAGGCTCAATGACAATTATATGATTTGATGCGTCGTTTAAATGGGCATGAATATATTCAAAGGGGTTCTGCACTTGCTTTGCAGCTTAGACTCTTCATGTTTTTGCTGCTTTGGAGCCCTCTCACATATTTCATGGAGATATTTTTATTTCACAAATTCTCTTGTAAGCACAGTTGCAAAGATTGATTATCGTTGCTTCTCTTGATGCTTGATTTGGTTGCCTTTGTTCGATTGTGGGAAAAGTGAGATTGATTAAGAGGCTTGAATGTGACAAGTTTCTATTGTAAGCACACTTGCAAAGATTGATGGCTGTTGCCTCCTTTGATGCTTGATTCGGTTGCCCTTGTCCATTGTGGGAATAGTTGGATTGATTGTGAGGCTTGAACATGACATGTGAAGGTGTCCTAGTTTGGCTTGCATACATGT